TTCCTTGAATTCATTCTCTCAAATGCGAGGCCTTTGCTGTGTTCACTCGTTCTCACAATCACAGAAGTCACTATTTCCGAAGCATCTACCGTCTACTGGCAAATCGTCTGTTCTCTTTGAAAACCAGCCTGCCTCAGTCCACCCTGCCACCTCCCAGCCCCTTCATACTCTCACATACACGCGCACACGCACACACCGCGTTCAACTCCGCAGCCATTCCCACGTCTACACGGTCTTCCTTGGCTGCCAGGGTCCGCTTTCGGCCCTACTCTGTGTTCTCGGATTTCCCTTGTTAAAGCGTTTTCGAGCCCTGTATTGACATTGCTCACTCACTGCTCTGTCTGTCGCCCACGCTAAACGTAACTGCAGTGACGGTAAAAATTCTTTCTTGTTTGCCAATATAGGGCCCAGACCCAGCACGGTGCCTGGTATACCCACGCCCGGACCTTCAATAGCGGCTCGTCAGAGTTATATTCTGGTAGCCTTGGGCCCCCAAGAGACTGCATTGTCTCTAGAAGGTCTCAGATCAAAGATCAGCGCTAAAGACTAAAGGAGGTGATAGGGACTATAGATGCCAAGGCCAAACAGAAACTTGGCAAAGCCTCCAGATCGTTCTTTCTTTCCTGCCCAGATGCTCATGTTTTGATCTCCCATCCTCATCTCTTTTGGTGTGGCCAAAAAAGAGAGAGAGAGACAGACAGACAAGGTGGAGACGTTGGAACCGTCTCCAGATGCCACCTCGTTGGGAGCACTCCGGCTACTCTAAGCTTATAGGAGACGTGACCTTGGAGGAGTTTCTGGTTTTTTATTTTTTTGGAGAGTTTTTTTTTTTTTTTTTTTTTTTTTCCATAGGGCGTGGGCGGTTTAGAGAGAGAGAGACAGAGAGACAGAAAGCGAGAAATCACCCCCCAGGGGGGATGGCCACGTTGCAATCCCTTCTCCTCCATTCTCCTCTCAGGATCTTGGGCACGCACGCACACGCGCCCGGTGTGTTTTAAGTCACCGGGTCCGGGATGCGAATCGTGGTCGACTATGTGGGAGTCCAGTGACATAGCCATTACGCTAACTGCTGGTCCCTCTGTATTTGTTTTTTAAATTTGCTACATGTGCTCACTGGAGAGACACAGAGGAGGAAGGTGAGGTGGGGTAGCCATGCCACAGTCCCTTTTTCCCCATTCTCCTCTCAGTATCTGAGGCACACACATATGCCTGGAGCTTTTTTGTCCAAGTCCCAGGTCTGGGACTCGAACACACAGTTGGCCATGTAGATTCCAGTCACTTTAACCACCTGAGGGACGAGGCCATCTCAGGGGAAGACTCCAGCCCCAGATGCCACCTGACTGCAATGACATGACAGCCCCAAGTAGAAACCACCCGTCGAGACTTGTCAACGCACAGAACAATGAGCACTGAGGCTGCGGTGGCTTACCGCACAGCCATAGACACTGCAGCCAGGGGCTACGCAGTGCCCACCTCTGAGGGCCAAATGAGACCTTTTTAGTGTATTCGTGGGGGGTGAGGGGAGACAGAGACAGTGAGAGAACATGTTTCTCTGAGTGGGGAAGGCTGTGGATTAGAAATAGACACAATAACAAACACACAAAGACACACAGGTATAGAAAAGCAAGGATCGGGTGGGCACAGCTTCTCTGATGGAGAAATTGCGCCCAGAACCAGCCTCAGGTTTATTCTTCTAAAGGGCAGAAAAAGGGGGAAGGGGAAAATGGGATGCAAAAGGAATGGGGAAGAAGGAAGTGGAATGCAGAGAATAAGGGAGGAGAAACTGGGATGCAAAGCCGGTTGTTTTTGGATGTAAATCGACTGAAGATGTGACAATGACTGGCGCCATGTCATTTCTCTGATCTTTCTTGGGGGACAATTTGATAAAGGCTTGCGACTTCCTTTAGCCCAGTATGGGGGTATGGGGTATCAGCAACAACAGGAAGACAGCCGTTGACAGCAGGCAGGTACTGCTTTCGTATGTAGATGCTTCTCATAGCCCTGCTAGAGTAGCTTACGGAAGCGTGTTTCTGCATGTGTCTGCAGGCCACGTGTTTTTATCACGGTTTCAGATTGGCTGCTCTCCACAAGAGAGAAAGTGAGAAATGGCCACGCCACAATCCCTTCTCCTCCATTCTCTTCTCAGGATCTTGGGCATGCACGCACATGCGCCTGGCGTGAATTTTAAGCCACCAGGTCTAGGACTCGAACCGCAGTCGGCCATGTGGGAGTCCAGCGACGTAACTGCTCCACCATCCGCTGGTCCTGAAATGAGACCTTTCTCTGCTTTCAGCCTAAAACCCCTCACTTCCCCTGCCTGATCTCTTCCCTTTTAACTGAGTCTCTGCATTTCCAAGAAGGCCTGACTCTCCTCGGTGTCATCATTTGGGGTAGATGGAGTGGAGATGGCTTCTCTGCTAGTGTTTGGAACTTGAATAGCTCTTTCTTTTCTCTGTCTTTCTCTTGATTTATTCTCTGCTGTGTTCTTTAAAACACAGCCAGATCATTTAGACCTAAAATAAGAATACCAAATTCAGCCTTTGTGTTGTAGACAGAAAAATCACAGGTTTGGTATGGTCTCATGGCAATGAAAACCAAGCCTCGGAAGCTACAACGATTCAAAGCTAAATTCACTTGATGATGATGATGTGTGTGTGTGTGTGTGTGTGTGTGTAAAGGCAGTTACACAAATACTTTACATAATTATTTTACCATGTAATCATGATAGAATTGTAGACTTTTTAGAGGGAGGGGTTTAAAAAGTACACGATTACCTGCAATTATAGTCTTGTTGAGTCTGGCTTTGTTGAACAGCAAAGCTCGAATTTGATTTAAACCAGGGAACATATTGGAATTGCTCTTTTTCTTCTGGCGTAAACGTCTGAACATTTTTTATTCTAGCGTTCTCCCAGAAGTCAGTCTCTGGCCATGCTGACTGCTCAGGCTGTGCTTTCTGCTAACGGTGTTGCCCATCCTGGAAGATCTGCAGCTCAAGCAGCTCAACATTACCTTTCTGTTAATATTTCCCCCTTGAGATTTTTGCTACAGGGCACATGCATTGGGGGGGAAGAGACAGAAAGAAAGCAAGAAATTACTCTGTGGGGGACTAGCTGCAGCAATCCCCTTCTCCTCCAGTCTCCTCTGGGGATTTTGAGCACACATACTCAGAGTGTTTCAAGCCTCTGGGTTGGGAGTGGAACCATGGTGGGTCATGTGGGAGTCCAGAGCCCCAATCACCACACCACCTGCTGGCCCCTATATCACTATTCATTGCAGAGTGGCAGCCGGGTCAGGATGGTAAGTTCTGTCAAGTACCTGTCAATTAAGTCCAGGGTAGAACCGAAGAGAGTCCAGCTCCACGTGGGACCTGTGTAGACAAAGGAACTCATCTGTTTTCTCTTACATTTCAACCATTCACATGGGCATGCTCAGAAGCAAGTTTGTTGTCATATGCCCCAGCATGAAAGCCTCTGGGAGGCCTGGGGGCTCATGAGCTGGAAGGGGACAGAGAGAAGACAAGGTGGAGCTAGGGGCTGTCATCCCAAGCCTCCAGGGACATATGGTACCTTGGGTCCCAGAAATGGGGCCTGCCTCTGCAGATGCATTTCTTGGTGAGAATGTAAGCGGTGGAGCTTGGGATTTTTGTTTGTTTGTTTTTGGTATAGAGTGTGTACACTCACCAGAAAGACAGAGACAGAAAGGGAGAACTCACCCCCCAGGGGGGGATGGCCACGCCACAATCCCTTCTCCATTCTCCTCTCAGGATCTTGGGCTCGCACACACATGCACCTGGCGTGTTTAAGCCACCGGGCCTGGGACTTGAACCGCGGTCGACTACATGGGAGTTCAGCGACACAACCATTGCCAACTGCTGGTCCCCACTTAACTACCTCTTGCGGCTCATTATCACCAAGGTCAGAGGGCTGGTCCTGCCAGGTATCCGCCTGCGTGTTCGGCTGGAGTGCAGACATTGCGGCTGGGGAAGCTGTTTTCTTTCCATTCCACACTCTTGGAAGCGGTGTGGCTGTGTGTGAGGAGCTAGAAAGCTCATTCTGTAATTACTTCTTGATTTGCCTCTGGGTGTGCTGCACATGGGCCTGCTGCACGTGGGCCCGACCTTGTGTGTGTTCACGTGAGCTTGCGCAGTCTCTGTCGACAAGAGCCACGGACAAGGATCTATAAAACGAATGCAGTTATTTTGCCCCAAGTGAAATGTCACATTTCAGACGGGGACTTTGCTAAGGATTGCAATGATAGCCAAAATCTATGCTCAGGTAGTCACTGCAAATCACACTGCAAGTTAAGGAGCAAGGCACGAAGCTGGCCAGCAGAACGGGCGCTCCGGGCGGAGGGAGTTCACATCCTCCAGGTCCTGGCCTGCCCCCGTCCCCAAGCAGGTTTCCCGAGGGGGGGGCAGAACTGAAAAGTCAGCAGGTTGCGGGGAGCAGGCGGGTGCCCGCCGGGGCAGATGCACGCGAACTGTTCTTAGGCGGGCAGGCGGGCAGGCAGGCGGGCAGACGGGCGGGCAGGCGTGCCCCACGTGGGCGGCCATCC